AGCTGCAGAGGTAATACATTTAAGGGAACAGCTAATGGGCTGTGCATACAGAACACACCACCTCTCCAAATGACCTTGCCCTCAGCTAGTCTGTGGTTAGATTAAAACATGTGGAAGGTTAAGACTTTTGATTATTGATTGATTTTTTGGATCAAATAAATTAGCATTACAAGTTATCTTTTAGTTCTACTGAAATTCCTATTTTTCAGTGTGTGCTAAATACTCATTAGCTGATGTAATCTCTACAGATAGCTTTTACTTCTACACTAGTAGAATTTTTTCGTTGTACATACATTAAGCAAACTGGGAAATAAATATTTTAAAAATCAGCACCTATCTTAAAACATTAGGCATTGGAAGAGATTCTGAGGATTTGGGTGTAATGTAAAAATCTGCTACAAATAATTGCACAGACAAGGTAAACAAGGGCATATAAAAACCTGTGAACAATTAGTGGTAGAGATACTGATTCTCCATTCTCAAATTTCACAGCTTTCTACCTGTGTGTATTTAGCATAGCATTAACAGTCCTACCTGAGCAACATGCATACCTACCAGTCCCAATACAACAACGCTTCCCATGAAATAAGATATACCAGAATTTCATACATTTTAAAACAGCTTGCCTGAGTGGAAATTGTAGGGTAGCACATAAAAAGGCCTACAGCACACTCTGTAAAATATTTCACAAAACTTGCATTAACCTCAAGTCTCACAGGAGCCTGTTTTGACAAATGTGTAGAACGTCAAAATAGCTATCTTTCCATTTTCCATATTCTTCAGAAAGACACTTAGAAAATGTGGATCTACTGTAGTTACTTATTACAGACCTTCTTTTGGTCTCTGAAGCGTCACCTCAGAGCATGCTTTTCTTCTGGTGTGTGGAATCTGTGAGGCATGCGATTCTTCAATTTGTGAAAATGCAACAAAACAGAAGGTGTTTCTGGTAAACCTAAGCACACACTGAAACACAACATGCGTGTTATCCATCCTAAGTTCACATAAAATTAAGAAGAAACATTTACACAGACTACTGAAAGACTTTATTCATCATCTGGATAGATTCATGGGACACTTTCCAACTCTGTCACACCATTTTCTTACTTGGAAAAAAAAACGCTGGCGTAAACTTAGCATGATGGCATGTGATTTATGAATACAGCTCCTTGTGTTTAGTACAGGGACACTACAATGGATAGGAGAAGAACGCACAGAGACTTTATTCAGCCTTTTCCTAGCTTTTCTACGATTTAGCTTCTTGACAGGCCACTGCAAAGGCACAAGCAGATCGAATGCTGCTTTTTCAGGCAACGGAAAGAGAAAGAGGTTTAACACAGACACTACAAAAGGGCAGACCTGGCGTGAGGCTGGGGAGGGGCATGGGAGAAACGGTGCATCACTGATGAAGTACAAAGAGGGCAGCAGGAAGGATTAAAATCATACTGACGTGCTATGGATGCACAGGCAGATTGCATAGTATATATTCTTCTCCAGCTGAGACCCCAGGACACTGACTGCATGTAAATTAGAAGTGAGTATCTGGGGTAACTGATAACACAAGGGCTCCAAAGCTCGGCTATCACAGAGTATCCTGTCAATAATTAAGGCTCATAATCACAGAAGCATGCATGTTATCAGTTCGCTAGCACCCACTCCACAGCTCATGAGATCTCTCCAGCTTTCCACAGCCATTCGGGAAACAAGGTTCACGTCCAGGTAGTGAAGAGTCAAAAAGCAGAGATATCTCATGAGTCCTTTGCTGGCTGAGATGAGGTCAATATATTAATATGACCTTTTTTTGCTGATAAAGACAAATAATAATAATAATTGTTGATATTATTATAATGGTAATTATTTTTTTATTATTAGTAGTAGTATTAAATCATATATACAACCGGCAGTCATCTGCATACAATAAGCTAAATAATAACAATAAACTACATTAATAAAATGGCAATGGATGCGAGCAGAACCTTAAGGAGTATTGGAAGTACTGTAGAATGTAAACAAAATGAAATAGTAAGAACAGCATACAGATATGGATGCAGTCTAGTAATGCAAACAACCAGTAAGTATGTATTACACCATAACATTAGACAAGTCCAACTGTCTGATAACTTTGCCAGCTCAGAAATTAAAGATAATTAGGAAATTAAGATAAAACATAAAATACAATATAGTGAGTATGAGTTATTGAATGAAGCAGTCGAAAGAGATCACAAATGTTGCTCAAACAGATGAAACTTGAACATATGCCAACAGATGGGCAGGGACTGATGTGCAGAGGTAGTGATGTGTTGTCTGTTCTAGGGTTTTAAAGTAAAAGTGAAGAAGGGAAACAGGACGACAGTTCTAAAGGAGTGGGGGAACAAGGATGGACATGGAATATAAGGAGATGAATTTGGGGCTCTAGCCTACATGAAGGGAGTTGAGAAGGGTGTCCTAAATGTAACTGGTGGATTTTCTTTGTGGAAAGACACAAGATCAACTGGGACTGCTTCTTCATTTCTTTATTTAATGAAATTATTTTGTGTTGTCTGTATTCTAACCTTTTTTGTATTAAAGTACAGATGGTTTTCATGCGAACTGAGTAGCTTCTAAACAGCTTAGGACAACTTAATACAGTATAGTTAATGTCTTTGATAGAAAGTCAATGTTTAAGTGAACACAGAAAAAAAGAAATATGAGAAGCCCAGGCCACATCCATTTTGAATTAATTTAAAGATCATTTTAAGAGCTCTTTCGTCTGAGCAGATTCATTAGAATAAAGTTCTATATGGTTCAAAATGAACAGCAATACCACATCTGTTTTTTCTTTTTAAAGATACATTCATTTTCATTTATGTTTGGTTCTCTTTATTATGTGGCCCACCATAAAAAGGAACTGCATGAAGTAAAGGCACTTACTCAAGATGAATACATCAAGGGCTTTGTCAGACACTTTCAATTGTGCTTGCACAGAGAGGGCATGGTTTCTTGGGGAGACAATGTCAGGAGTCTGGGCATTGGAACAGAGTAATCCTTTGCAAGAAAAGAGACTTTCACCATCCTGGATCTCTGTAAGAAAGTTTAAACAGCTCCCTGGCACACGTCAAAGGCAACCTCAGCTGCAATTTAAATTCAAAGCTACTTGGGCAGGAAGACAGGGTCATTTGTGCCTCTTCTCACCAGAACTCATGCGGTGTCTGTTTAAATGGATTTGTACGGCAAATAGGGATGCATTTCAATAGATCTGTTCATTAATATTTTCTCTAATGCTGCAGGCTTAGTGTTGTATCTCAAACCCTAAAGAATTAAAATAATTTTCAAAATGACAGGCAAAAATGTACGAACCTGATAATCAGACTGAACAAACTTTGAGTTTGTTTTGGTGCAGAAACCCTCCATAGCACTCCTTGGGGGTCTACTGTAAGGGATGCTCTATTGTTCATTACAATAGTAATGAGAAATGCCACTTCAAATCCCGGAGTGGAGTAACTCTCATATCACTTAATAATACTTTTATAGGATTCATTAAGAAACATTTTTATGAGCTCCTGTAATAAATGTAAAACACATTGACTCTTCTCTCAATTGATGCTATACCTGAAATCAATAAAAAGTGTTTGAAAATAATTTCGGACTCAAATACAGTATATGTTGCAGAAGGGATCTTTTTAACAGATTTACTGAAGAAGAAACAGAAAATGAAAGCATCAGAAAGAGATACCCTCTAAATTAAGCTGTCTGTGTTCAAGAGTACCATCACTATTTCATTAATCTGTATCAGTTTTATATATGACAGCTGCAGAAACTTAGCCTGGTCAACAACACTCACACAGCTGTTTTCTAGAGCCCGAACAAAAGATAAGTGTTAAACCATTTGTTAGCTGTCTAAATTTCTTTCTTGTAGTAGTGCTGGAGGTTTTCAATTGTGGGTTCACTGTGAGACTAAGATAAGTTAAATGACTTGGGTATTTTAGAGCAGAGTATCCATTTACTCATATTAATTACAGAAATTAAAAATATGATGTATAATATTTAAAAGTGCATGTGCAGTTTGTTACCAATGAAATTGAAATAAGTTTGGTGACTGGCTCAACTGACAGAAGAGCTCATCTGAGCTTAATGATCTGGGTCTGAGCATAGGCCATGTCACTATCCGAATGTGACAGGGATTCCGCAAGTGTTGGAACTCAATTGTCCGAGTATCTACCCTCCCCCTGAGTGCCGCCAAGGGGAGGGTAGGCTTAGATGGTCTGGGGCTCTCTCAACTCATAGTGACACAGCGCTCCCTGTTGCCTCACTGGTGATTGAATCCTTTTCAATTGTAGCCGAACCTCCACTGCGGGACTGTTGCTTGTGATGTGTGAAAAGACAAGAGGCTCAAAGGTGGGAGGGAGGGTCAGAGGAGTTCGCCTGCACTTCCTTGTTCTCTCCCGCGGGCGGGTGCAAAGTTTATTGCCGCAAGCCGAGATGTGAAAAATATAACAAAACTGAATGTGTGCAACAAAAATAATGAGCCATACTAAAGAAAAAGAAAAAAATGTGAAATGAACATAAGCTACTTACAGTATGTAAGAATGAAGACAGCTCTTTCACGTGGACTGGTGTAAATTGAACACTACTGGATTGATCTTTGAATCTCTGAGCACTGTGTTTTCAAATGCCTCACAACTGATTGGATGGATGAGGATGGGCCAGGGATGAGCTTAGTGACAACCACTGGAAAGCAAAAAGCTGAAAACTAACCTTGCTGTGGATTTCAGTGTCGTGACAAAAGTCATTGTGATAGCATCAGATCAGCAGTGCTACAGAAATCCCCACTTAAAAAGAAATGCAAGCTGGCAGTTCAGCAGACACCTTCACTGAACAAACAGACTCAGGCACTGAGCAAGACACCTGTCAGAATGACTGTACCCTGAGGTGGTCTTCTCTCGGATTTTCTCTTGACGCAAAAACGTACGGACCTTCCCAACACCTGTATCCACCCCAGTGAGGAGTTGTGCATGCTGACCCACCTTCAGCCTCAGCCGGATGGTGTTGCATTCCCTCAGTGGGTTCAGCTTCAGCGTTTCCCCTAGGTTATTGCAGCCGGGACTCTGCTGCTGCATCTCACAACACACGCAGACACCATCGCTGTCAAACTTGATCTGGGAGGGAGAACAGAAAGATCCTGTGAGCAAACCAAAGCAGAGTGAGCAGCTCTGAAAAGTCGCATGGGCCCACTGCCACCAACCCCAGTACAGGCCTTCTGTTTCCAATACAGATCTTGGCCTAAACCCATTTCCAAAGCACTTGAAGACATCCAGATACTCTCCTGCATGTGGAAAAACAGCTGGGGTCTTTATTAAGTGTAAAATGTAAGCCAGCGGATGCTTGAAGACATGCAAATAGTGCAGCAGTGCTCAATTGTATTTCACTTCAGAAAGGGCCTGCAGAGTCATCTGGATATCTGGATCCAGAACTTTTTTTGGCTCGGCAGCACAATCTACTTTTGAAAGATGGTCTGTTATTAAACAAATACTGATCTCCTGAACTGCTGCTGCCCTGCTACTGGGGGGCTAATCATGTCAATCGAGACACATAATGCAACAATCTGGAGTCAGCCAGCAGGCAGACACCCAGAATTTACCGAAAGGCACAGATGACTTCCTCCTCTAAAACACTGCAGCACTTAATACATATCATATTATCACGTAATATGGTTCCGTAAATTATAATATTACTCACTTCTGAACTGAGGCAAGAGCTTTGCTCCAAAACCTTGACATCATAGCAGATATTCTAATTATCATAATGCCACTTCAAGCACAGTACCTGACACACACTGCAGGCACAGAAGGGATCCAAATAGCGTACAGGGAACACCAAAGAACGATCTGATCTTTTTGCATTTAACGTGCAATGCCTGTATATTTCTAAGAGGGCAGTGGTTGAATTTTAAAGAGGCAGCGACCTTCGTTAGTGAATTCAATGCCCCAGCAATGTGGAACCTCTCTCAGAAACACAGGACACTAACCTAGCCAGCATGTGTTTGGGAAATGGCAGGATACCTAAACGCCCAGAAGAAACCTACATGGACAAGGGGAGAGCATGCAAACTACTCACAGGAGGTACGTCGGACTGGGATTGAACCTACAACACAAGGGCTGTGACGCAGCAGTACTGTACTAACCTCTGAGCTACCATGTCTCCCGTATGTGCAATACAGTACGTTACAGAAAAAACAACAGAACAATTGCAGTGTGCTCCGCTGGGCACATTTACACACATGTGCCTAGCGCTGATGGCACTAACAATTTACAAAATGACAAATGACCCAGAGAGCTTGGCTTAATCCAGCAATTTGTAGACAGTCTAATATCATCATCATAAACTGCTAGGAAACTTCAATAATGGCAAAGGTTGATATAAGGCCAGTTTTAAAACATCTGTCAGAATTTACTACTATAAAGGCCCTTAAAAGGTCAAAGCTACAAGGGCTGCTAATGTAAAAAAGGCAACAGTAATACATTTATCATCATTGCAAAGATATATTCAGACAAGAGAAAGGGTGAAATCATTTGGATTCTATCACCATAAAAAGTAGATATACCATGTTTTAAATAATTGATTTTGACTTTAAAAACTATCTCTGAAGTTACCTTACATTTTTTAGGCAAATGTGAGTGAGAAATGCATTAAACCCTACTGCTAAAGTAAAGTGCATACCAGTTTTAAAGTTCCTTTTCAACTGCTCAATAAAAGTGCTTTGAAAACCATTTGAAACTACAGTACTAAATAACAAAGTGACTTTCACGTCAGAAAACAAAATGCACCAGTTTTATAGCACCATAGCAAATGTCCTCTGTCATCATCACTGAGTCCATCATTTTGTAAAAACAACATTGATAATAGAGCGACTGATTAACTGCTGCTGTAATGAAATGGGGTAAAATAAGTAACACCAGACATTCAAAGTGATTTGGATTCCTCTGTGTGCAATTTCAAGAGACTGCTGTAAGTTCACTTTTATCTGTCTCTCGACTAGCTGCACATACACAGTGCTGGCAGTTTAATATAACTGACTTATTAACTTTCTACCCTCTTAAAGACATCCTGGGATCCAAAACATCGCCGTTTTTTTAAGATTGCCTCTCATTTACGAGTATACATCATACGGCCTGTGTACTGTGACAGGGTGATACATAGACTCCACAATTATCTGTGATCATCTGAAAAATCTTTGAGATGGAATACTTTTATGATTGAATATACCTTATTAAATGTGCACATCTTATGCTGTTTAAGTGCTCACAATGTCCACCAAATCTTAATGTCTTTCAATAACCAGCAAATTATTTATGAGGGGCTGAAATTATTTAGTTAAATTAAAGATCATTCAACATGTGGAAAAAAAGCAATACTGTAGTAACACAAAGTGTTTGCGGTAACAGTGTATTAGAAAGAGAGAAATATTTTTCTGAGTGTCCAATAGAAACAGCAAGGATTTAGATTTGGGGATACAGTAAACAGACCAGTTAATGTACTGTATTTTCTAAAACTATAACAAAAAAACATTTACCAATGAACACTACAGCTGCCCTTAATAATTCTTCTCTTTCTATAAGATTTTAGGAGCAATAAAATTCTAAATATTAAAGGTTTTCCAAAATCTGCAAAAATATTGCTTTTAATAACAGTATTTAGGTCACATTGATGGGAACCTTTATAAAGATTATGAAAGCTTTTATAGAACAAAAACACCAGCTCCACTCTGGAAGTCAGACTCTTATTCTTTGCAATTAAACCAAAAAAAAAACATCTTGAAATTCAATCATTGGAATGACTGGGCTTTGATCTCTCTTGGCACTGTGATCTTCAGCTCCCTCCTTCATCACATCTATTGCCCCGGTCCTGCTAGCATGACACATGTCCTGGCTGAGCTCTGCTGGGGTCCAGAGCGCGCTTCAGTCGAGCAAGCATAAGGACCCCCCAACCTCTGCCGGCAGAAGAAGAGCCGAGGCCATTAATGTAATGAGTGGCCGCACTGGAAGCCGACACCCACCATCGCAAATGATACGATCAAGCAGAGGAGACTTTTTCCCATGAGCCACTATGAACCACTGTGCGCTGACATTTCCTGATCACACATTCATCCAATCCAAGGAGCACACGCAAATAATTAACACGGCCTGACCCCGTCACAACTCCAGTGATATTACCCCCACCAGCACTGACAGAAGCAGAGACAGTAGGGCACAACACGAAGGCAAGGTGCCGCTCTGTGTGTCCTCGCACGCGCTCATTAGGAATTTTGCATCACCAAAGTGAATGCCAAATCGCAGAAAATTACCATGGAGCAAAAGGCATGAAAGTTCAGCACTTATCAGAGCCTCCCATAGTCTCAGTATTTCCTTTTGTTTTAAACCTTGACTGCTTTGTATTTTTCGTTGGCAGACTGACCCGCAGAGTAAACACTCCCTTGCCTGGATTGACACATCTCCCAATTCCCATTTAATGCATTTAAATAACACTAACCTTTATCTGTGCTGATCTTGTGGCTTATCGAGAGACATATAAGACAGCTTCTCAGCACACGGACATAAAGAGCACAGGTACTGTACTCTGTTATTTTCCACAGCTCTGACATCCACAGTGCCTTGCAAACATATTCAGACTTTGCACAGTTTTCACATTTTGTGGCTTTAAAGCTGGCAGGCATGACAGTTTGAAGTAGCAATTAATATGTTATACACAAAACCTATCCTATGCATTCAAAGCAAAGAACAAGAAAGAAGAGTAAATAATATGAAAGAAAAATGGTAAAGTCATGATTGCTTAGGCGGATGACACAGTGACGCAGTGGTTAGCATTGCTGCCTGAGAGCGCTGCGTCCCTGGGTTCAGTTCTGTAGCTGGGGTGCTAAAGTATCTGCATAGAGTTTGTATTATTTATATTTGAGTTTGTTTGCTTGCTGGGATAGGCTCCAGATCCCCTGAGACCCTGAACTGGATAAAGTGGTATGAAAATGGGTGGATGATTGCTTATGTAATCAAACCCTTAGCTGTGGCAAGCCTAAATTAATTTAGATGCACAAAATGACCTTACTGAGTCACAAAGTTAGCTGAGTGACCTCTGCGTGCAGTATCAGTGGTTCTCAGGATTTCACAACAAAAACACCAATCTCTGAGAGGTTCCTTGGTCAGGTAGTGAATTTCAAACAAAGAATCAACCGAAGGGCTCGGTCAGGTATAAAGTCATTGAATGACACAGGTCAGGAGAAGGGTAAAAGAATACTGAAGTCTCAGAATATTTCAGACACCGCCTAGATCAGGCTAAAACTCCCAAGCAGCCGCGCAGGGAGGAAACTGGTGAAGGATGCCACTCTCAGGCCTTTCAGAGTCTTAACTCTGATTGTTATCTTTTCAAAATATGTAATTCCCTAATCCAGAACCTTCCCCTTCATCACCATTCTTATCCACTTCCAGAGGAAAGTGACAGAACGCATTGCTGTTCCTTTGCCTGATGAGCAGCACGGGTGATTCAGATGTGCTGGGAGACATGCAGGGAGCTGTGACTGGTTAATTTAATGGTCAATGTAAACTGTGAAAGGAAATGTAAGTTTCTCTTTATTCTTGGCACCCACCGTGACATTTCTCTCCTTTTTCCAGCATTTTCATGTCAAATGATCAAATGATTAATTCAGTTTTCTTGTCATTAGGGTGCCTGTTTACCAGCGCTTGTCTGTTTTTAGATTTTCCTCTGCTCAATGAGGAAATCCATTAGTACTGGTTGCAGTGTAATGCAAGACTTAATTAAGATTTTTTTTTTCAAGCCACTTCCTTCTTGTCTCTGACTGAAGAAAAAGGCGAGGTGAAAACTTGATTATGTTGCGATCTAATTGAATTGAGGAAAACACATACTTAAAATTTCAGTCATGGGATACGGTCTCCAAAGAGGTGTTAATATGAAGGAAGGGGGCTGGTCAGTTAATTTAATATGCAAATCTCTCTTCCAGCCTCCCAATTAGTGACAACAGCTGTCACTGCAGCAGACTGTAAGGAACTGATTATCTTGCGGCATCTCCACAGCCTGGTGTGGGACTCCATGTTCTTAAAGTGATGCCGCACAGCCACTCACTCCTGACAATCTCCTGCCGTACTGAGGC